CTCCATTTCCCCCTTGGCCTTCCTGACCGCCCCCCTACATTCCCGAGCTACCGAGGTATAGCCCTCTCTTGTGACGGCCCGTCCCTTCCAATGGATGTACGCCTCCTTTTTCGTTTGGAGACATTCCCGGATGCTTTTGGTGAGCCATGGGGGTCTTTGCACCCTCTTGCCCCCTTTGATTCGTGTAGGGATTACTTGGAGGATCATCTCCTTAGTCTCCTTAAGGAGCGACCACGCCTCCTGGACACTCAACTCCCTCCAGCTCTGGGACCTCAGTGCTTCCCCCACTAGTCTTCTTACCTCATTAAAGTCTGCCCTCCTGAAGTCAAGGGCTGCTGCCTTGCTGGAGGCTTTCGCCACCTTGCGCTGGATGGTGAATTCCAGCAGACAATGATCGCTATCGCCTACGTGGTCGAGCACCCGCAGTCCCCGTACCAGGTCGTCGCCTGTGGCCAGGACCAAATCCAACAAGGCGTCTCCCATGGTGGGGCTGTGTACCTCCTGGGTTAGATGGAGGTCCTGTACGTCAGTTAAGAACCTGCGTGAGTGGTCAGACCTGGCTGCTTCTCCCAGCAGATGTCTGGCAAGTTTAGGTCACCCATGACAACCACATCCTTGGACCAACTATTTCCGTGAGCTGACATAAGAATTCCTGGTCTCAATCTTCTCCTTGGTTGGGTGGTCTGTAGAAGACCCCCACCGTTAAGTCCCTTTCTCCCCGACCCCCTTGTACTCTAACCCAGAGCATCTCCTATCCCTTGCTGTCCCCCACCCCTCCCCGATGAGTTTGTAGGTGGCCACGAGCACATCTCAGCCTTCTCTTGTGGAGGCTGAAGGGATTCAGGTCCCTCAATCTCTCCTCATAGGGCCTTACCTGCAGGCCCCTAACTATATGATTGGCCCTCCTCTGAACTGTCTCAAAGTTATCCACATCCCTCTTGAAGTACATCACCCGAAACTGGACACAGTACTCCAGCTGCGGCCTCACCAGTGCCGCATAGAGGGGAAGTATCACCTCCCTGGACCTGTCTGTGATGCATCTGCTAATGCATGATAAAGTGTGGTTAGATTTACTGATCACTTCATCACATTGACGACTCATGTTTGTCTTGGAGTCAACTATGATTCCGAGATCCCTTTCTGCTACAGTGCTGCTGAGAGGGTAATCCCCCAGCCTGTAAGTGTGTTGGTGATTCCTTCTCTATAGGTGCAGCACTTTGCATTTGTCCTTGTTGAACTGCATCCTGTTCAGTTTTGCCCACTTCTCCAACCTGTCCAGATCCTCCTGGATTCATTCCCTGCCTCATAGTGTGTTTGCTTTACCCCATAATTTGGTGTCATCTGCAAGTTTGGACATAGTGCTCTCCATGCCCTCATTCAAGTCACTGATGAAGACATTGAACAGCACTGGTCCAAGGACCAAACCGTGGGAAACTCCACTGCCCACACTTTCCAGGTCAATGCTGACCCGTCCACCACCACTCTCTGGGTGCGTCCCATTAGCCAATTTGCACCCGCTTGACCATGTAATCATTTATGTCACAGCTACTAAGTTTATTTATGAGTATAGGATGAGATATAATTGAGCCTTGGTATAAGTTCTCAACATTTAAAATGTAATTTTAGATATGTTTAATTGAAAAAATCCTATTTCCCCTGAAAATAATCTATTTACATCTCCCTGTTTTAAAGATACCTGTGAAATTTGAGTGCAGATTGTTATGGCTTTTCTCTGTGCATTCCCTTTTGTGATCTTATTTTTCTGAATTGGAACACCTTTTCTTATTGAAGGCTAAACGATTGGCTCTATGTAGTCCTCATACTGCAGGCATGCAACTACATACATCTGTAGCGTGGCTTTTTTATCACGTGCTCTAAATGAATTTTGATCCACTAGAAATTTTGGAAGGAGAATTGTAATTTTAATAAGGGGGGCGGGGAATGATGTTCTCCCAAAGATACTGTAGCTAGTCCTAAACTTAAAGCCAGATACATCAAGGTGTAATAATAGGTTTTTAATAGCGAAATGTGGATGGAATAAAACATCACCTCTAGTTTAAACAATGCAGTCTTTTGATTCTATCATGATGCTGATGTTGGATTATTTCTCTGCAGTATAAGCAAGTGTTATGTAGTTATTGTACAAGACATCATTAGTATGGGTCAATATATATTTCAAATAGCTTGAATTCACTTTCATGTAAATTCATACAATGATGATTTAAAGTTAATTGAATGTTGGTTTAGAATATTTAAATACTATAATGGATCTGTTTGTCATGCAGATTCAGTTTCTCTCTGGAAACTGAGCAGGTATAAGGTGCTAAATTATGCTCTTAATATGAGGTAAAATGCATATTATTGAAATCAAAGTTACTTAAAACTAAAGAGTTCTAGTTCATGTATACTTCAAGATCATCTTCAAAACCCTGTTAATTTTTAGGGAAATAATGACTCTAAGGAAAGGAAAGTATGTTTTGAAGGAATGAAGCCTCACATGTACACATTCTTTTTATCTTAGGAAACAGATAGAAGAAATGGAAGAAAAACAAAGATCTAACAAGGCAGAGCTGGAAAGGATGCAACAAGAAGTAGAGACACAGCGCAAAGAAACAGAGATAGTGCAGCGGCAGATCCAAAAACAAGAAGAGAGCTTGAAACGACGAAGTGTTCATATTGAGAGCCGATTAAAGGACTTGTTGGCTGAAAAAGAAAAATTTGAAGAAGAAAGACTACGGGAACAACAGGAGATAGAACTTCAGAAAAAGAAACAACAGGAAGAAATATTTTCTAAAGTTAAGGAAGAGCTGCAGCGACTGCAGGAACTTAATCACAATGAAAAAGCTGAGAAAATGCAGATTTTCAGAGAATTGGAAAGACTTAAGAAGGAAAAGGATGAACAATATATAAAGCTGGAATTGGAAAAAAAGAGGCTTGAAGAGCAAGAAAGGGAGCAAGTGATGCTGGTAGCTCACTTAGAAGAACAACTTAGAGAAAAACAGGTCATGATACAACTGCTGAAGAGAGGAGATGTGCAGAGGGTTGAAGAAGAGAAAAAGGACCTTGAAGAAATTAGAGAATCTCTCTTAAGAGTCAAGGAAGCCAGATCTGAAGGTGAGGAAGACTGTGAAGAGTTAGAAAAAGCACAGCATAAGTTCATGGACTTTAAAAGAAAGCAGCTAGAGCAGTTAACTTTTTTTGAGAAAGATTTAGTTCAACAAAGAGATCACCTGGAAAATGAAGTAGCAGATGAACATGAAGCTCTGGACCATTTAAAATGTAAACATGAAGAACAGTTAAATCTCCTCATGAAAGATGAAGAAAATGGCTTGGATGCTGCCCTGCTGGCTGAAGAATTTGACAAGATAAGACCAGCAGAATACACACTACAGTACAAAGAACGTCAACTTCAATACCTGACCAATAATCATTTGCCAGCTTTGCTGGAAGAAAAGCAGAGAGCTTCTGAAGTCCTTGATCGAGGTTTACTAGGATTAGATAATACTCTTTATCAAATTGAGAAAGAAATAGAAGAAAAAGAAGAACAGCTTTCTCAGTTTAGAGCCAGCACAAACCAGCTCCAGCAGCTTCAAGAAACATTTGAATTCACTGCCAACGTAGCTCGTCAGGAAGAAAAAGTTCGGAAAAAAGAAAAAGAAATTCTTGAATCAAGGGAAAAACAGCAGAGAGAGGCACTAGAACAAGCTGTGGCCAAATTGGAAAGAAGGCACTCAGCTTTGCAGCGTCGTTCCACAATAGACCACGAAATTGAAGAGCAGAAACAAAAACTTGCAACTTTGAACAACCACTGTAGTGAACAGGCAGGTCTTCAAGCTAGTCTAGAAGCTGAACATAAAGCCTTGGAACAAGATAGAGAACGGTGAGGATTATGGGTAACATCAGCTTAATTGAATTTGTATAAAAATGTGTGCACCTGTCCCCCAGTGTGATGGATAGGAAGAGAGATTCTTTCATTTACCAGGCAAGGTTCTTTGAGTAGGTGTGATATCTTTTATTAGACCAACTGAGTAGTTGGGGAAAAGTTCTTAGCAACCTTTTAGGCACAGTCACCCTTCTTTAGCCTGTGCCTGAAGAAGGGTGACTGCGCCCAAAAGCTTGCTAAAAACTTGTTTCCAGCTACTCAGTTGGTCTAATAAAAGATGTCACACCTACTCAAAGAACCTTGACTGCAAATATCTTTAGACCAGCGTGGCTACAACAAAAAAACCTCTTCCATTTACCAGTATTCATATTACATACTGCATTAAAAGCATTTCCCTGAATGTACATCTCTGAACACTGTCTTTATTTCTTGCCCACCAATCAGTATTTGTTCTGTCTGCTCTTTATCCCATCTCTATCAATGTGATATTTGTGTGTATCACTATATTTAAGTTCTCAATTTGAACATAATTTCCCTTATTCTGATAATTCAGTTGAGTAACATGCTGCTGTACCTTTTTAAAAGCAGTCTTCACCAGTAGTTAAGATGCATGTATAGATTTTGTTTTACATCTTTAACTGCATTTTGGTGGTGATACTATAGTACGTCTTTGCAGTGAGATTAAGGATAATTGCTGACTCTAATCGAAGACTCTTTGTCATGGTACCTGCAAACTAGAGGACTGTCATACAGAATTTAGCAAGGTTTTGGCACTGTCTGCCACAGCATTCTCATTAACAAGCCATGGAAAAACAGACTAGGTGAAGGTCCTGTAAGGTAGATACATATCTGTTTGGCTTATTTGTAGTGAACAAGTAATCATCAATGGCTTGTTGGAAGGATGTGTCAAGTGGGTTTCTCCAAGGTCTGATATTATTTAATGTAGTCATTAATAATTAGCACAGTGGGATTGACAGCACGCATAGCAAATTTGTGGACAACACCAAGTAGGGTGGAACTGTAGATGCACTGGAGGTCAGGGCTAGGATAAAGAAATACCTGGATAGACTGGAAAAAAGGTCTGCAACCAATCAGATGACATTCTACAAGGACAAATGCCAAGTCGTGCACTTGAGATAGAATATTGCATGCACAAATACAGACTGAGGAATGCCTGGCTAGGTTGCAGTACTACAGAGAAGGACCTGCAGGGGTTTACAGTGGACTATAAACTGACTGAGCCAACCAGGTGCTCTTGTTTCAGAAAAGCCAATAGCATACTGAGCTGTATTAACAGGAGTGTCACTTGCAAATCAAGGGAAATTATTCTTTCACTCTGTTCAACACTGGTTAGGCCTCTCTTGAAGTACTGTGTCCAGTTTTGGGCTCCACACTCAAGGAGGATGCGGACAGGTTGGACACAGTCCAGAACAGAGCAGCAATAGGAATCTCCATGTTTTCAAGGTCAAGTTATGGGATGGCTTAGTCAAGGATCTTGATTTCAGCAGGGGGCTGGACTAGATGGCCTTGTGAGATTTCTTCCAGCCCTACTTTCCTATGATCTTGTTTCCTGGTGTGAAATAGTACATATTATTTATTGGGTGACGGGTTAGATAGTTCTAGGGCTGGAACTCACATCTGTGGTAGACTTAAGATGGTCACAAGTGATCTGACAATGCATTTCATCTACCAGCATACCTTTAAAGAGTAAGTAGACACAAACTTTGTTTCTTTGTAGTTTAATGTAGGATGACAATAAAAACTAGATTTCTTCTTAGAAGAGAAAGAGATCTCCTTATCAACCGAGCAACATTTTTTTTTTTCTGGTCTCAGTGAGAATCGTAATTCCTTAGTGATGATGGGTGGTGACACAGTGAAACTGCATTGTGGATTCTAAAGGGTTACTAAAACAGTAACCAATATTGAAGATGTGATTGGTAATTATAGTACTTGATTCAAAACTACAAACATATTGATCCTCTGCCTATAAAAACTGGAAAAAGTGTTCTGTTGTCTGAAGAAATACTTGAATATCTAGGATGCTATGCTACCAAAATGTCTGTTTAGAGATCGACCTATTTAACATAAGAATGTGTTCCTGTATCTGACTTCTAAATTAAGTTGTGTAAGTATATCAAGTAACAAAATAATTCAATCTGTTAATTAAAAGAAATTGATAGTAACTAAGTGCTGAATCAAGGCAATTTGTTAATTAGGAAAGGCATAGAGGATTGAACATTTGCTTGATTTCAGACTAGTATTTTTTTTTCTTTTCCATCTCTCCTTTAAAATGTGTTTTGTTTTTCTCCTCGGATTTATGATGAAATTTAACTTGCATAGATTCTTACCAGCCATCAGATATAGTGCTATATTTTAAAGCATGCTAGCAGTGAAGTTAGGTCTTATCATTTACTGTGGGTCCCTTTTACAGAAAGAGGGTTTTGTAAAAATAATAATCAGGTTCACACTTTCCAGGGTGAGCTTATGTAGCACAGCTGTGGAAGTAATTTATACCTAGATAAGCACAGTTTCTGCCTTCTGAGTGTCATGGCCAAATAATCCTGAGGAGATTATATTTATGAAGACTGTAAATTCTTCAGTGCACTTAGGTCATCCTATCCATGTGGTTTGGAATGAATAATATCTAGCAGAATGGAGGCCCAAACTTCACTGGGACTCTTGGAGCACTTTTACACGTGCTCTGGGAGTGGGGAGAGTGGCTCCAAGAGCCACTCTAATTAAAACGCTGTCACATTTCCTGTATCAGCATCCCTGTGCTTAAAAAAGACATTGGGGTGCTTGGACTAAAGCTTGTTTGATGAGCTTTAGTTCAAGCACCCCCACCACCATTTTTAAGCGCAGGCATGCTGATACACGAGATGCAGGAGGCTGCTGGAGCATGACAATTGCCACGTTTCGACAGACTCCATTTAATCGGAGCAGACAACATAATTCCAGCACGTTGGAGCAGTCTCCGTGCTTGTATATAGGCATTAATTAGGCATTAATGCATGATAAATTCAATAAATAATCATCTGCATATGCACACAATGTTTTTTTCTTCCTGCTAATATGTTTTAACATCTTTAGATACTGTGTAAACTCTTCTTATATTATCTATTTCATGACATCTTTCTGTACATGGTTTGTGTAGTTCTTTCTTGGAAGGAAAAGCTTAAATAAGTGTTGGCTATCTCAAAACTGCTAAAACCAGTGGTCTGGTAGAATATTCTAGGATAAGTGAAGACTTTGCAGTGAGCTGTCAGTCCTTCAAAGCTGGATACAATTATTCTCTAGCTTCTCATAGTTTGTTGCCAATTTTGTAATTTTTAAATTTCTTCATCTGATAGTATATTAGGACAAAATGTTGTGCCAGACAGTAATGACTACAAGTTAACTTTTGCATACAGAATTGTTTTTATTGGCAAGGTATTGTCATTTACTACATAATGCAATAAAGAAAACACAACACAGCATGTTTTATTGTTCCATTAATGGGCCAATATCACTAAAAAGCAGCAGTGTGTCAGAATAATCACAAACTGGCAAATAATCACCCAAAAGGATAAATTCACAGCTAGTGAGTCATTTCAGGAAGTAATAGATTTTTCTGTAGAACGCTTATTGACTGGTCAAAAGATAGATCAATTTCCTGTAAATGTAGTTGTGATTCTGTGACTACAATAATCTTTGTGAATGCACTCTCTCATCAACTTTCTCTCATAATTTGAGACCTTGTTACTACAATATCTATATAGGTCAAAAGAATCTCATGGGTTTTGGCTGTGGTTTGATAGGGTACCTCACTTAAAAAGTAAAGTTACAGCTTCTGTTCTTCTTTATCCCTTACCCAGCAAACCATGTTTTTCATCTCTTCGTTTATTCATTTTTGAACTCTGAGAGTGGTAGAGCAAATGTGATGGTGTAGGTTGGAGGTTACATGGCTGAAAAATGTGGATCTATGACAAGGTAGTATAGGCAAATATTACTTGTTTAAATTATTTCCCTTTTGTTTACAGTGATGATCTTTCACCCCATTTTTTAGATGAATTTTAAAATTATTGATGTCCAAAAAGGAATCCGTTATGCATATAAATGAACATGACTGATACATTTGTTACAGAAAGTGTAAAATGATGTATTCAGGTATACAAAACAAATTGTAGCTCGTTGTTTTAAGGGTGCATTTCCAAATTCATATACAAGACGCATCTGAAAAAATAATCTCATTTATGCATCTTGTGAACAATTTTACACATTTTATCAGCGAGATATCCTGGCATGTTGTTATGCATTTATTTGATTCTACTGGCATGTCCTTTGAGTTGAACCAGTTCACTCAGACTGGAAATAGAACTGAAATCAGGTATAGAGTTCTGAAATGAGGTGTATACACAAGAGGTTTTAATGAGCTGGACTTATGAATCACACTTTAATGTGTCAAGTAAGCTATTAATAATATTGAAAGTTATTGAAGTTGATTTATTGAACTAAAATGCCTACATTTTAATGTAGTTGTTTTCAGATGATGAATGTATTCTTCACTATCCAAACATGCAATAATAATATAATTTTCATTAATATTTGTATGGCTACAGAAATTCCAAAGATCTTATATAATATCCTTATATAATTATAGCATCTCTTTGTTGTACGTATATGAACTTGGAAATTAATTTTTAAAAACAGCTAAGTTAAGTATTTCAGACAGTAAAGACTTTTTTTAGAACATACAATTTGAGTTATATTTTAAGATCTGTTTGTAGGCTGGATCAGGAAATTCAGCAGCTGAAACAGAAAATTTATGACGGTGATGGTATTCAAAAACCTTATTATGGAACAACAGAAGAAAGAATCTCTCTCACCAGTTCCCCTACTAGCCCTTCAAAGTCTCAGTCCCATTTGATTCCACCAGTTGATGACAGGTACGTATATTAATTTAATTAGGCTTGACATGACTTTAAACAGTGCAGTTAAAACATAGCAAATATTTTAGGCATACGTGTGTGTGTACGCGTGATCAAGATTGGGGTTTATTTTTCAATTACCAAGCCATACTAGAATTGCATAGAATCACAATGCTTTTGTTATCTTTAAATATTTTTTGTAATCAATAAGTTACTCTGTTTTATGTATACATACTGAATTCAGTAAGGACCTTGAGATTCCTTGGCCTTGTATTGATTTAAATTTGTACCTAAGTGTAGATTTGCTTATGTGGCTACCTGATTTACCCCTGTGCATTCTGAAAGCACCCAAGTAAATTAAATTATATTAAGTATTATTTTATAGTAAAGCAGCCTGACATCATGTTAAACACGCTGATTTAATTACTTTCCCTTTCATTTAATTTTATACTTATGAATACAATATTTAATATAGACTTTTAAAACTTTCATTCTGTGTAAGTTTATTACAGTTTGTTTAAAGTACTGATGTTGGGAATGTTACAGAAAGAAACTGCTAGGAAATAGAAACAAAAAATAAAACTGGTATTTCATTTTGGAGATGGACACTTATTAATGGCATACCATGGTCTCCTGACTTGCCTGAATCTCTTATTTAATTAGTTGTTACCTTTCTTATCTCTAAGTTAAATAAAGCTGGTTAAAGAATAAATGCTTGGGACCTATAAAGTTGGTTCACCATTTTCTATGTTTTCTACATTTAAAAGTGCTTGATGTGTATGAAGCATTCAAAGAACAGTTTTAAATACTGTTGGTTTTCTGTCTAAGAATAGCCTGTTTTTCTTTTACTTCTGTCTTAAAGATTGAGTGCATTTATTGAAGAAGAAGTTCAGAGGCGTCTGCAGAATATTCACCATGAAGATAACCATATGAGCCTATCCCAATCTACAGAAGTTCTAAAGGTGAGCAAGAGTTAGACAGGAAAAATACTCATTGCTTTAATTTCTTTGACCAAATCCCATGGTCTTCTGGGTTATAATAACTTTAGTTTATTAAATAATTACAGTACTGTAAACGGTTATAATTTTACTTGGGTAGAAGAATATGTTTCAAATTCCAAGTTATGTCCTATCATGTTATCCTGAGGGGAAGTAGGGAATTAAAATCAAGGAATAAAATGCTGACTATTATCATCAATGGTAAATCCCCATTTTACATATGGCTTTAGAACTGTCAGGATTTAAACAGATGACAAGATTTCACCCACATTTTTCTTGTAGAATGGAAAATAATCTTTTAAGTATTGCACAGGGATAGGGAGGGTTGTGAGTTGCATCTTACCTTGGGTGCAAAACTTGTCTTCTCATATTGAAATGAAAATATCAGTGGTGCAAAGACCTTCAGCTTTTGCAAAATAATGCAGAAGGTTTTCAGATGCCTTTAATATGCTTATGTTCATGACAGAAAAAAAAATTAGAATAGAAAAAATAATACTTGCCATTTCCAACAAAACATCCTTCGAATGGTTGTAGCTGGGGAAGCCAGGGTTTCAAAGGTGGAGGCTTAGGTGTCCAGAATCTGGCTTCAGGGTGTCCTTCAGGAAGGAAATTGGACAAAGCTTTTTTCAGGGAGTGCTGAGGTAGTGTTTTCTCCAGGAAAGACAAGGACCTGTGATGCAAGAGGTGTTATTCATTTATGAAGTTTCATTTTAACAAATACAAATATAGAAATGGGTATTTTGGCAGCTAACAGATTACTTCAAATCTTTTTTGCTATCAATAGTTCTGAAGTAACTTTTACTAGAATGAAACTTTTTTGATTGCATGAATCTTTTGGATCTTAGGATAATGAGAAGCTTCATAACGGTACTGTTCAACGCAAGCTGAAGTATGAGGTAAGTTAGTTGTCAGAAAGAACTGAGTGTTTTAAATTATGGCATGCTCCGTAATTAAATTTCTTAATGTTTAGCAGCATAATTAAAATTTTAAATTCACAGCAAGATTAATGACTAACGGGGAAGTCAGTGTATTTTGCAGGCTTTAAAATTAAACTTATTCCTGCAGGTTGGGTAAAATTTTGACTTTATTTGAATGGCATGGAATGGAGGAATCTTCATAATGCCTTACTTGGAACAGTATCCCTTTCTCATATCTATAGAACAAAAATGCTTTATGAACAGAAACAAAAATTATTCATATTCAAAGTACTTAAACTCTTCTGAAGTCTGATGGACTCTACTATCAGAATTATATTTGCAGAAGTAGTATACATGATTATATTCTGACAGGCTAATTTTAGACAATCTAAAAGTATTTCTAAACCAAATGTTTTAGGAACACAATGTTTTATTTGGCAAACTACGTTTTCCTCTTCCTTCCACGCCAACCTCCGTGCTTTAGAAGTTCATGATTCATAATCTGTTCCAGGTAACAAAAATTACACACACAGACACACACATATGTATCTATGGATGTGCGTGCGCGCGTGTGTGTGTGTGTGTGTATATGTATATGTATTATTTTTATATTCCCTGAATATAAAATATATTCCGTATATTCCCTGAATATAAAAATGATACAGATTTTTGTATTCCCTGAATTTCCTATTTCTCTTGAGGAAATCTAGTATTGTTACAGAAGTGAAATGGATACTGTAAAAAAAAAAAAAAAAAATAGAAAAAAAAAAAGGTGTGGGTAAAGAGGGTGACTATTCCTGAATCAGATCTCAAATCAACTTAATCAGCTTTTGTCTCTCAATTCTAATATACTCTGAATGCATAAACTTTACCAAAAATAAAAATGAATTTAACAAAAGTTCAAATCAATTGTTTTCTGTTTTTCGGTTTTTGTTTTTAAAAAAAGCAAGCTCTTCTGTTTTTTTTCTTTTAACGCTTTAAACAGAAAAGACAACCTTGGCAGCTACATTGTAGCCTCCCGGTTATTTCTCAAGAAGACGCCAGTGGTTCTAATTCAACTGGAGAAAAATCAAGGACAGATCTCAAAAAACAGGATGACTGTTTAGAGATGTGGAATTTATTTTCTGTTACTAAAAGAATCTTTTTCCCTTTCACATCACAAGCAAGAATTTGGAATGAAAAGAACGATTTAGAACAGGAAAGCTTTTCCTGCCAGTTTGGTAGTGAATATGAAGTGAATTCCAGTAACAATAATAGTATTTATAATAGGGTGAACATTAATTCTCAAAACCTAACACATGCTTCTGTGCAAAATCAAGACATAGTCAACATGGAACATTTACAGCCTAAAATGACAAATCTCAAGAATGTTGAACATGCAGAGTTTTCTTCTAAGGACGAAGACAGCTCAAAGGCTGAATTTGATTATTCCTACTTGCAAAATATGTGTGCCTTACAACCTTTAGGCTGTGCTAATGAGAAACCTAGTTCTAACAGCCTGTCTAGCTTTAATCTGCCTCAGTCCAATATACTTTCTGAAGTAGCTGTCGAAGAGAACATTTTATTTAACACAATGCACCTGGCAATGCAAGATGAGTCCTATGTTTCTCATCTGCAAGTGGATAAAGACCTAGATATTAACACAATAATTGCCACCAAATCAAAGGCAGCATATTCTGATACAAGATCAGAACAGAGATATGGTTTTGGATATCTTTTCAGCAAACTTTCTGGTCTTTACAAAGATGCTAGTAATCAACTGCACAGGAGTACTCAGATTATTAACCAAATAAAAGAAATGAGCATTCAGTATGAGAAAAGTGAGAGATGCACACAAATAATAGCATTGCTTAAAAATTTGCCATTTATGAAAAAGTTACAGGTAGATGTGCCCTTCAAATCAGATTTAAAGCAAGCAAAGTCTCTCTCTACTGTGCAGGCCAAAGCTTGTAGTGATGACACCACTGAGCCAGAAAATGTCCCACAAGCTAAGGATACAAAGATGTGTGTTTTCCCCAGAGTCTTAAACATAAACACAAAAGATGCATCTGAAGGCTCAGTTAAGGAGTTTAAAAATGAAGTACCAAAAAACACTCTTGTATTAAGGCAAACAATTGTTGACTTTCCAGAGAAATTACTGAAGCTTCAAACTGGTTCTCTGGAAAGACAGGTGGATCATGTGATCTGTGCCTTACCCCAAATTTGTGTCAGTATGGTGGAATTAAAAGGCATATACTGGCTTGCTGTTGGCAATTGCAAACATCCTGATCCTGTGCCTGCATGTTTGCTTTTGTTCAGTTCCACTCTGTACACTGCTGTTGTTTCAGTAAACCAGCAAGACTATTGCCAGGATTCACTGGCAATTTTTCATAACATCCCAATTGCCATGATAAGGGAGATTCAAGTTGGTTTTGCTGGACAGAGTATCAGGCTTCTGTGTTCTACTGAAGATAATTTACTCACGATATTTACTTATAACAAGCACCTCACTCAGAGGATATGCCGTGACGTACTGAATATTTTGATTTCCATGTCAGACAACCCTGATTATTTAAATCACAAGCTGCTGAAAGAGGATTTGTTGCAGCTTTCACTGGACTGGACGTGTGAAGTCACAGATATACTCTTTTCGAGTGGCCTACGGTTGTCCTGCCAATTTGGGACTATGCTAGCTGATCTAGTCTATTTACTCCATGAAAATATGGAAAACAATAAACCCCCTTTAGGAGATATTTGTGTACTGCTCTATACCACAGTGAAAATAGACTGTTCTAAAGAAATAGCCTATAGATCACTTGTTCTTACACCTACTCATATAGGACTCATAAAGGAAGACAGTGTGTTTTACCCTATTCCTAGTTTTTTGCGTACTTCACCTCCAAACTCACAGTTTAGCGAAATTCAGGTGTACTCTTTGAAAGAGCTCCGGTGTATAACTATCCTAAATAAAGAGGATTTAACAAAAATTGAGCTTGTCTTTTCTAAACACAAAAAGGTTGGATCTGATTCAGCAAGCAGTTTTTCTAAACCACACCTAAAAGAGACACACACCCCACTAACAGTTACACTACCATTTTTTCAAGAGGGTTCACAGGTTCCATCAGAAATCTGGAAATTAACTTTTAGTTCAGATGAAGACGCCATTGGGTTAATTATGTATTTGACTGGGCGTTGAACTCCAAATGCACTTTGGATAGTATAAAAGTACAGGCTAATGGATTTAAATAAAGTACTTTTGCTAATCTAATAGTAATGAATAAATAATAAATAGTGATAAAAAGTGTATGTAAGATGATATGACAGGGCTCCTGTGTATTTCGCCTAGTAGCAGTTGATTGTTTGCTTTGTGTAGGTCTGTAATATACTTTTTGAAAAGACAAAGAATTTATAAAATGTTCATATTTCATGTGCTGAATGGATAAGCGCATTCATAGGCTAATACTTTCTTCCTTTTCTCCTGGATAGCAACAATGCATGGGTCAGTGGCAGCTGCCACAGCTGCTCTTTCTGTGCTGCTCCAAAGTGGGTGCCAGGGGCTACTTCCTGATCACCCCCTGTTAGCTACACTAATGCTTCCTCTGCCACTCATTCTGATCTCCTCCATCTCCTGTCCTAGCTATGCCAGCTGTTTTAGATGACGTCTTGTCTACCTTTAATCAGTTGCTACCTACTTCAATAGTTCTTTTTTTGATTCCTTGAATACATTGTATATCTGGATTCCATGGTGCTCATCCATTCAGTGTGTTTATTGGCTCAGTTGCAAAATGTAGATGCCTCATCCCCACTAATTTTGTTTATGGGTTTGGGAGCATCATTATCCTAGAGTATGTGACATTTTATCCAGTTAAGGATAGCAAGGGTATTGGTGTGCATTTATACAAATAAATTCTAAAAATAATAAGACTGGAAATCTGAAGATTGCCTGAACTTTGAGTTAATTCTTGGCTTATTTAGTGGTCAAGTAGGCCCTTTTAAAATGCTAGTTATTAATTGGTAACATGTTTTCCTCATTAATCTTAATAGTGCTTGCTTTGCTGCATGAAACCTCATTTTAAAGTATTTTTAAAGTATTCTCATGCTAAGTGGTATGGGGACCTACCTAATGTCATGGGTATTTTCCTGTACTTATTCTGCACTCAGTTCAGGCACCATGTTTTCTACAGGAAAATAATAAATTGTAATTCTGAAAAGTTAAAAGACTCTGTGCAATCCCATAACAGTACTTGAATGTAATTCATGGAAGGCACTTATTTCATAAGGGTGTACTACATGTTCAAGATTATAAACTTACAGAAAATAAACAGATACAACCTGTAACTCTGTTATGTATGTTATAAATTGTAATACTTGGGTTTGTTTGGGGTTTTGGGGGTTTTTTTGTAGCTTAGTTGAGAGAACTCGGATGGCTTCATAAAACTCTGTACTACTACTTTAGAGTTTCATTAGATCTTTGGCTAAAAGGTTTTATCACATTATGAATGCTTTGTAATTCATAGGCTACAGGAAATGACCTCCTGAGTTATGAAGATGTGTCTCCTGCTATTGCAAGCAGCTACTTAATATATTCATATTTCTAACACTACCAAACCATTCCTTATGTTTGCTTGCACTACTGCTTTTGGAAATATATTTCAGAACCTCAGTTCTCTGATGATTAGAAACCTTCTTCGAATTTCCAGCCTAAATTTATCCATGGCTAGTTTAAACCCATTTGTTTTTGTACCAGTGTTATTCTTTAATGTGATTAGTTCTTCCATTTCTTTTACTTCTTTATCCTCAATTGTATTTAAAGAAATCAGCCATATCCCCCCTCAGCCTTCATTTTGTTAGGGCTAAACAAGAAATGCTCTTGTAGTACCTTTTTGTAAAACAGGCTTTCCATCCCCTCAAACATTTTAGTAGCTGCTCAACTTACCTGCCCAGTTTGAATTTCTCCTTATTTTTATTTATTTTTTTAACATTGGTGACAAAAATGGAAC